AGGGCGTATGCGAGCATTTGCTATAGTTAGACTAGACTACTAGTGTTATTATTTACAGGTAAACTTAATAAAGGGTTCCCCGGTGTTCAAGGTTAATTATAATCATTTCTGATGATGTTGACAACAAATCTTGTTATATTTAAATATAAAGTCATGAATTTCTAGTGAAATTTTAAAAATATAAAGTTTTAATAACTATTGCTTTAATATACAGTAAAAATATATTCATTCACTAATTGAATTTATATTTAAAATTTTTATTCACTTTTCAAATAAATGAAATAATCATTTTAAATTGCGAATTGTCTTAATGCAATATATCAGTAATTTATTCAGGATTTATTACGTACAGTATTAGGTGTGTGACATAAAAATTTTGAAAAAATTTAGTATATTTATTCAAGGTTTGCTATTATGAACGGTTTTATGGACACAATGAATGTTCATCATTAATGCTCAAATCTCATGCTTATTATGAATTAACATTAATTTAAGCTAGTTTTCAAAACTAACGATTCACTATAAAAATTGTATAACAAAAGTGACCTTCAATTTTCGCAACCTATGCTAGTTTTGCGTATAAATCTATGCATACTTTATAATAGGATTACATGGGTTTCGTATCATTACATGCTTTTCTTGTTAAATAGGGATAAAGGATGCAAAGGTGTCTCTCCCGTAACTCCCTTTCCCTCAGCCGCACAAACACACAATTCAAATACTTTTTCAAAGTTATAATAAAAACACCGAAATTTTTAATCCTTAAAAATGAGTTGCAGAGATAGCTATTGTTAAGTAAATAATTTTAACTAGCTAAGTTTTACTTGTGATAAGCAGTGCATTTTGATAAATTATCATGCTTCAGTTGCAAATAATTTGGATACTATTTGTGATTATGTGCGGTAAGTGCTTATAAATTGTTATGTAATATAAGTTATAATTTATTTTCATAATTTATTTGTATAGTTTAAAATTTTTGTAAGTGTATTGTAATTTAATTTAATGTGGTTAATTTTTAAAAAACAATATAAATATTATTTTGTAAATGGTTTAATAAATATTTTATTTTATAAAATAGTTGATAATATTTGGTCATTAACGGTGAAAAACCTGGTGGTGCCGCCGACTGTATTTGTGGGGCAGTCCGTCAAATTGAGCTGCAATTATGAGTTGAATGGCGACAGACTTTCTACTATTAAATGGTTTGTTATTGATATTGAATTTATTTTAGTTAAACAAAATTTTATATAAAAACAATAAATAAATGAATTTTATTTTGAATTATATTTATAGGCTCAAGGATGATAAGGAGTTCTATCGGTAAACAAACAAAATGAATATATTAATGAATATACAAATGTTAATTAATATTATGCAAAATATTTTCATGATACTCGTTATTTAAATTGGATTTAAATGCACAGATATGGGCCAAAGGTATGCTTATATTTTGTATGTTAAATTATTAATAGTTTTTAGTTTTTATGTGCTATGAGTTTAATATAAAATAAATTTAATTATTAATTTTAAAAATCATATTTTTGATACCATTCTCAAAAATGCCTAATTAAATAATTATTGTGTTTTAGGGTCTGATCGCACACTATACTATGCCTGGTATTGATATTGATGTAAGTTTTGAAATTTTAATGTATTTTTACATTAACATTGTACTTTAATAATGAGTTAAATTACTTTTTTGTATCAATTTGTGGACAGTTGGCTAGAAGTAGCGACAGTTCTGTGTTTTTGAAACACGTGAACATCCATTCAGATGGCAGTTATCGGTGGGTATACTCTCGATTGAGTTATTTATACTTTATTACCAAGTCTGTTTTATGTAAATAGGTGCGAGGTATCAGTGGACTCACCTAATATAATAACAATTCGCAGTCAGGCAACCCTCCAGATTATCGGTACTACCATTTCATTATTTTATGAGTAAATATTAGTTATATTTTATATAATATAATAATTCAGTGCCCCCTGAGTCGGGTCCGTCCATAACGTCCAGTCGTTTGGAATATAGGGTCGGAGATATCGGTATAGACTTTGTTTGCTATACTTATCAATCAAACTGTCTTAAAGTGTATCTCAAGTGTGGTTTGAGATTCAGTTTTTAATTTTAAGCAATGTTTTATTATTTAATTTATTAGTATCGTTGAAATGTGTGTCCAGTAAAAGTAAACCTTCAGCAACATTAATGTGGTAAGTTTTGTTTTAACAAAGTAATTCATAAAATTATGGTTATTTTGACATTTTTTCACTGTTTTTATTAATTTTAAGGCATATCAACGAACAGCGAGTAAATGTAAGTCTTAATTAAAATTATCTATTTATATAAACTTAACACAATAATTACAAATTATTTAACTTTGTAAATAAACTTGTGTTTAATAAAGATTTATTTATAATTAATTAATAATTATTAACTATTTGAATTGTAATAATATTTTTAATAGCGTGACAGTGAGTACGATATCGTGAACACCACCCAATCCTATGGGGAGGGACTCGAGTCGAGTGGTTTGACTCTGAAATTTGTGGCCCAGTATAAGGTTAGTTAATTAAATAATCAATTATTCAATGTATTTTAAGTGAGTTTATACCTTGTTAATTTGTATAGCATTATAGAGACGGACGCCTGGGTTTTAAGTGTACAGCAATCACTCCAACCATTTATATAACCAGTGATGCAGTATTCACTGACACCGACCAACCGCCCCCTACTATAAACCCGAGTATTTATACATAGATTTATTATAATATAGTTTTATTAATAATCTAATGTATACTTTTTTGTGACTTATTAGTACTTGAAACTAGTTTATCACTGCCAT